GGGCGCGATATTGCGAGTTGGAATCCCAGGTTATGTCTTTTAAAAAAAGGAATTTTTAAAGAATTTATAACATCCCTATGCTTTTTTTTGTCTAGGTCATCAAGGCAAAAAAGCATAGCGCAAGGCCCTGAGCTTCCAAGCTCTCTCGTTGGTGTTTGTGTGTAGGATTGTACTTGCATGTGTGCATGTATGTGTGTTTGTGTGTGTGTGCGTTTGTTTGTGAGTGTACGTGAGTGTGTGTTCGCGCGTGCGTGTGTGCGTGCATGAGTGTGTGTGGGGGGGGGGGGGTAACTCTTTTGTAAGGAATGGTGCTCTTGCAGCTTGCATCAGATCCACTCTGTTTTAGCCACCGACACTAGTAGCAAGCAATGGCAGGAAGTTAACATGATTTACTGGTATACAGTTGAGCCACGGGAAAGCGTACACAGACAAGTGATGGACAAAACTCCATCAAGCTAACATCGCCTCACGAGGAAAGAGTTCTTGGGGTGGGAGTTTGGAGGGGGGAGGGTCACAATCTTCCAGTTCATCATTCGGTTTACACCTCTTATACAGACAGAGCCATTATTGTACGAGACAAGACTCCCAAGTATATCTCAGTGCAGAATTGTTTGTGTTTTTTAGAAACACAGCACACCATTATGAACATAACTGCAGAGCACGAGAACACGATATCAAGATTGCCAATGGCTTTGGTCATAGATGGCAACATTGATTTCAGAGATATGGGAAAGTAATGCTTGATATTGACCGCATAGGATCCATCCATTCCACGATATGGCAATTGTCATTAATTCCAGTAGAGTACAGGTACTCGTGATATCGACATGTCGGTGTGGTTGTTGCTGCTATGGCTGTGTTTAGGATGGGAGACCTCCTCTTTGTGACGCAGTGTACGGGAACGAAGCAGGTTGTGTACCATACTTGCTGGACGTCACCTGGACCGAGCTTGCATATGATGAGGTAAGAGTTGAGAAAACTATGCCGTGTTATGAATAGGCTTACTAGTTTTGTCGGAGAAGATATGTTCGGTTACTGTGAAAACCTTTTGACATAAACCACTCTCTCGCAACCCCCCCCCCCCCTCCTCTGCACAAGTTCTTATCAGTTTATATGATTGTTGTTCCTGAAACACGTAGCTTTACATTAAGTTGGATAACATGAACGATCTCCATGGAAGGCAGTTTGAATATGAGGGAAGAGTACTTTCTGTAGATGAAGTGCGTAAGAGAAGACTAGCATGCGTTCTTCACCAGTCTATTTCCTCACTGTCTACTTCAAGGTGTGTTGGGTATTATCATCGTGGACAGTGCATCTCTTCTTACTCTTCACTTTAGACAACTTATTTTGTGTATGATGTTAAGTATTGAGCAGTGACAGAATGATCTATCATTTCTTACTGTGCACCTGTGCTATATACGGTGTAATAAGTAAAATGGCGGGTGTGTTTTCTGTGATATTTTGGATATGTGATAGTTATGGTGACTAGTGAAATTGATGACAGTGAAGAGTGTATCGCTATACCAATATTGGTTCTGTGTTTTCAATCCAGGCTAAGGAGATCGTGGAACGGGCCGGGAGGCTAGCTCATATAAAGGGCTTCATACAAATACTGGACTTGATTACGGTGAGACATGTCGTTATTTAGGATTACAAACTCTTTGCTCATGGATGAGAGGAAAGACAAATTGGTAGAAGTTGTGAGTAACGAGCCCACCGATGGAACCAGATCAATTAAATATCATAATGCTAGTGCCGAGTCGGGTAGCACTTTCTTCGGGTATCGGGTTCGGGTAGTTTTCCACGGGTAGCACTTGTACCCGATTGGGTAATGTTTCCCTAGCAACACCACAATGCACCCCTTCCCTTACACACTGGATAGATATGCAGAGTATGACATGAATTTGTCCAAGTGCACTGTACATGTCATGATTATGATGTCATCTGCGACTTCGTGTTTTCGGGTACTATTCTGTACCCGACTACCCCAGGTCCTCACGGGTAGCACGGGTACCAGACTACCAGTGCATACCCCTGATAAATACAGTTAGAAGATGCGACAAGGCACAAATCTCACAGGGTGCTGAGACATTCAATACCCTGACGCATAGGTCCGACATATCTCCAAGCCGAAAACCGATAACGTTCCAGGTTGGAAAAATACGCTTAGGAAAGTCCAATGAGGTTTGTGAGAGCCGAAGAAAAGAATGCAAGAATGAAAGAAACAGAGAGGTGTTACCAGATTTCTTGATGCTATGGTATGGCTATGGTGGAGTGAAAGATGGACAGAAAGCTAGCAAGTTCACTGTCAATGTCTCTGTTGAGAATCATACGAGTCTCCAGGAAACTATTGACAGCCATGTATTGAGAGAACCCGCAACTCATTCCGCTACACCCATGCCTCTATACCGGTAATTGTGTTGGGTCACATCATTGGAATACTCGGTTAGAGTTTGTTGCCCACGATCACAAGTGGTGGGCACTGAAATTGGCTATTCAAATGTTCTGGCTAAGAGCAGATGATCCAAGAGTAACAACAGAGGTCACGGTGAAGAGTAGATCAGGATCGCAAGGGACGACAGAGTCAATATAGAATGACAAGACAGATGAGGTGAAATGAGTGTCGAATGTCACCATTTGATGGAAGACAAAACTGGAGACATATTTCTCTTCTAGAACTGTTGGTGTTCTAGCAAGCAGAGCAGTCAGATTGGCGATCATTCATTTCTACTGCGGCCATGAGCACAGAATGAAGATAGCTAATGTGGGGAAAGACATTCCTCTAAAATCCCAATGAATTCCTGGACAGACTGTGATGAGTTGTGTGTGATTATGCTGTTTGAAACTATACTAGTGTGATCCCTGAGCCCGTGCACTATACATCATACATCAATTGTCCTCATAATAGGCTTGAAGTGCTGGTTACATTGAACAACCTGATAGCAACTAGCTAGCTTACTGTCAGATGTAAGATAGTGTCTAGTGTCTAGTGTATGTCCAGCTATGTGGATATACTGTAATATATTGCGCTCAGTGAAATTCGACCCAGAGTCCATATTTGGCAATTTCAACTTGCACGACCCTCGGTAACCTGGAAGTGGCATCAATGCGGCTGGACGAAAATATGGGAAATACTACTTGTATTATCGGAACTGATCGAGGGCACCAGCTTTTCAATTTTGGTTGAATTTCACTGAGCGACACTGTAGTTCATGACAGTGTTCAACTTACATACTTTGGGTATTGTTGTTGTGTGCTGCATTTGTATGCTCCAGACCAGCTTGATCTGTGCAGAGTTTGGTGTTGAGGGTTACACTGATCCTACTGAACTGATTGCCAACGTCTGTGGGGCAGAAGGGTCAGGGAAATCTACCTTCATTGCATCCTTCACAGCAGAAGGTTTCTTCAATAAACGGCTACGCAAGGAGAATCAACCGGACATGAAGGCAAAAGATTTAGCATCCCGAACAAAGGTGAGGTGAAAGCAATGAAGAATGCACAAAGTGCTACAGATTTTAATTGGGATGAATTCATTGTTAAGTCCAAATCATTTGTCAGGGTTAGTGACAAGTTTTGTTTTCATTCCAAATAAGCACAAATCAACACGAACGGGGAAGTGCAAAATGTAGGTGTTATGAACCCTATCAAAAACGCTACGCCAATAACAAGGAGAAAAAGAGGTAAACAGAGCCGTGAAGAAGAGTGACTGGTGAAATGTTCATGCTGGGGTCTGCAAGCGTTGTGTGGTCTTATCTGGTCACAAGACAAATCTACCAGTACTAGGAATTGGCAGACCAAATGAAGATTGCACCAGCAATGTACAAATTACCACCCAGACAATTGTGAATATTATAACTGATATAGTCATCGTGGTATGAGATATACATGACTGAGGGTAATTTGATTATCGGTTGCCGATTGGTTGTATTTCTATCAATAAATGATTCTACTGCTATGTATGTTATATGAAAGGGTTTGCTCCCCACACCGGAGCTCGCGCTATTCCGCCGACTTTACTTGACACTTGACTGACTCACGACTGCCATCCAGAGCACACGAGAAGTCCATCGAACCTTCGACTCGGCAAACCTGCAAGAAAGCACCACTCCCTGCTCAATACACAGTGTTTCGGGGAATTCACCCCTCATCAGTTGAGCTTGAGTAGGCTGAGGAAGATTGTGCCTGAAGAGCACCACTTATATAGTGCTCTCCAGGCACAAACATCACCAGGGATACAAACTTACAGAGACGGAGCGTCTCTGTAAGTTTGTATCCCTGGTGATGTTTGTGCCTGGAGAGCACTATATAAGTGGTGCTCTTCAGGCACAATCTTCCTCAGCCTACTCAAGCTCAACTGATGAGGGGTGAATTCCCCGAAACACTGTGTATTGAGCAGGGAGTGGTACTTTCTTGCAGGTTTGCGAGTCGAAGGTTCGATGGACTTCTCGTGTGCTCTGGATGGCAGTCGTGAGTCAGTCAAGTGTCAAGTAAAGTCGGCGGAATAGCGCGAGCTCCGGTGTGGGGAGCAAACCCTTTCTTACAAATTATCGCCGAAGTCGCAACCACTATTTCGTAATGTATGTTATATACACATAGTATTGCTACCAGAACTACCGTACTGGCGCGATTAGAGCCCTCTCTCGAATAGTGCCGCCAAGTTTGATGTCCTTTTGCTAATTTTCCTGTCCATGTCACCTTCCTAGTGGTTTCAGGATCAAAATCGTAGTTCTTGTTTCTGGTTCTGGCAAGTCGTGATAGTTTACAGGAAACATCGGGGTCTGTTTTTTTGCCTTCTTTGCTTTTATCATGGGTGACATAAATGCACGAGCATTGAAAGATAGTGCCTCCTAGTACCCCCGGCGGCACTCATCATGCGAGTACGGTATACTGTTGCTGTAGAACAGTGTGATTGTGGTGAGCTGGGTATGATTCATACAATGTTCTCTTGCTCATTCATTTTGTTTTTATCTGTTCCATAATTATAGGGAATTGAAGAAACC